AGGATTCCCCCTGTTAAAAGAGACACGTCCTTCCCCACTGTTATCACACGCTTGCCCAGGAGGACTAATTATTGACTTTATACAGTTGGCTGGGTTTCAAGACAGATGTATTTTTGAAGCTGAAGTGCACCTATTAGGCCTGTGTTAATATTTTTCTTATTTACATTGGATGTGCTTTCTTTTAATATGTAAAAAGACATATGACATGAGACAGTAGTTTGGAATCCAGTAGAGAATCCCAGGCAGGTTCTGCTGGAGGTTTCTTCCTGTTAAGGGAGAGTTTTCCTCTCCACTGTCATTGTAGCCATGCTCGGTATGAATGATAGCTGCAAAGTCGACAATAATGCCAGCAATTGTCTGCAGTTGGTACATGCTGCAAGTCCTTAGATAAAAAGACTCTCTCATTCTGATCTCTGTTCTACTGACTGGTGTACCACTAACCCAAAACTTGATCTGATCTTCAATAAATTAAACTAAATAAATACATTTAATTATTGAATATTTATTTGATCATATCTTCATGTGGTAGACTCCCATGTCTTGTTAAACACTTTTAGATAACCTTTGTTTTGAAATTGGCACCATTTAAACAGACAAAAAAAGAAAAACAAAAAAACAACAAAAAACAAACATATTAAACAACCTAAATGCAAACATTATGGAAAAAAATAAGTTTTTATAAAAAGTAATCAAACAAATGTAATAGTTTAACTTTACTGCACGTAAATAGCAAAGTTATTTACTATTTATATGCATCCGCATACTAGAAACATTCAAGAATGCGGATGAATCAGTAAGGGGGCCTTATTGCATCATGCCTCACTGATCAAAAGCATTGAACATTATTTAAAGTCATGTTTTTACCTCGTCTCCCCACTTCAACACATCTCTCTGACGATCCTTGACCTTATTGTAGATGTTGAGGAACTGGATGATGCCATGCTTTCGGATGTGGTCGGCATACTTCTTTGTTTCTTCCCAGTTCAGGGGAGATCCTTGCGACAGTAACCCCATGGCACAGACGGACAATCGACCAGAGTGTCCTGCTGGCTGCTTATTAACTGCGAACTGTACGCCAAACGTTAGCTACCTAGCTAGTTGGTCCAACTTGCGGAGATCTAGCATGAAGTCTCAGTCCAAATAAGCGGTACAGTCTTGGTCCCACGGGATGAAGCAGGTAGCTCACAAGAAGAGTCTGTTGATGCTGGTTAAGCAGCGTGCCTGTTCGGTAACCTTAACTGGGTATCCAAGTACAGACAGGCCAGCCCCTGCTCATCACCTGCTAATTTCTGGTTAGCTCGGCCGAGCACAGTCAATAGTTGGGGACAAACTGGACCAGCTCGTCGGTGTCACGTAACGTCTGTTTGGTTGACGGCTACGCTCTGACACTGTTTCTCCTAAGCTCCGTTACAAGGTGAGCCGTTGAACTTCGCCGTTGCCGAAACAGACTGCCGCTCCACGCAGAGTTACTCTGTTAAACATATGAACGCCCTCCTGGATTTACACACGTGACGCCTTTGGGAGGAGCGAAGCTACATCATCATGACTCAGCATCCTTTCAGCTAAGCTCCTCCTGCCGACCTGTCAATCAGAGGGTAAGAGACAACGATTGCATTTAGAAATAAATATTATTTAATAATAATAATAATAATAATAATAATAATAATAATAATAATAATAATAATAATAATAATAATAATAATAATAATAATAATTCAGTAATCATTACTGATATAAGTTTGTTATAAAAGTATTACTGATTGCACTTTAAAAATTAGGTAACTTTATGTTATTAAAGGTAAAGTTTAAACAGTAATGATTTCTTGGTTAATGTCAAGTTGTCATAACAAAGACATTTTGAATAATGTCAACTTTGTATTAAAAATGTCATAATTTACCGAATGACGCTTTATGACAACAGTCATAAATATTCATGAAGGCTTATTGATGTTTATGACAGGTGTTATGTCATGTTAATGAAAGTGTCATGACAGTCTTATTCAACCCCCTTCAAATAAAGTGTTACCAGTTCAGTGTTTTTCAACCCTGATCCTTCAAGGATGTGGGGCGGCATTTTTTAGATGTTTCTCTGACTGGACACACCTGATTTCAGCTGATGGCTGATTAACAGACCTTGGCTGAACTGTAATCATCTGAATCAAGTGTGTTAAAGCAGAGAGACATCTAAAACCCGCAGGCCAGTGTGTCTTGAAGACAGGGTTGGAAATCATTGGCATACTTTATAGAAATGTCTTCAGTTTCATAAAAACAAAACTGCACTGAATTGTTTTAGTAACTATCATGTACGCTGTGGTGTAACAGTTACTGAAAGCTTGTTGTTATGTTTGAGGTATTCAGGAACAACTTATAGGTCAGAGGTTGAGGTACAATATTACCATTTTCAGACTCTTGATGATCCACATAAAAACAAACAAGTTTTTTTTTAAAACATTTTTGAAGACGTAAAAATATAAAAATATTTTGGAATCCCAAAACATTCAGTGGGCTAAAGTACAGCCTTGCAACACAGTGTACAGACGGATGTTTTCAAGCCTTTATTTTGTTAATAAGGTCTTTCTATAATAAATTAATAATGATTTATAGTAATTTAAGATTAGAATGTTACATCAGACCATTAACACTCTTTTAAAAGCAGAACATACTTTCTAATTTATTGAATATTACTGTAATTGAGTGTGTACTTATAAATTGGACCTCGCATAGACAAAGAAAATCTGTGTGAATGAAACACAGACCCAAGTGCTGTTGGCTGGTATTCGATGAAGTTAATTGTTGTACGATTTCCACGTTGTAAAAACACTTCAAAGGCACATTTGAAAAAACCCAGAATAAATATCTCAGTCATGCCCACGGAGTAAATTTTTCACATGCATTCCGTACTACAGGTTATCAACAGAATTAAGACTTTATCAAGCCAGTGTTTATGTACAATGAGTAAAAATACAGAACAAAGAACAATGAAAAACAATTTCACATAAAAAATCTTTAAAGTTTAGGACACAAAATTAGGTCTCTTGTGTCCTTTAACCTGCTTATATTTATATAAAAATCATATTTTTATGTGTTTTCCTTTGTGTTTTACTGTTGAGTGCAGTACAGTAGCAATAAGTTGCTTAGTCATATGACTCTGACCTCCTAGAAGTGAATGAGTCATGTTAATGACCAGAATGTCAAAGGTGACAGCGTTTCATAAATACTTGAATGCACCATTAATCTAAGAAAAAAACCATGTCCAATAATGACACAGTAACTTCTATGGAATGGTGTGTTGACAGCAACTTCATGGTTCGGTGTTGAGCATTTTTTCTTTTGTCTTCATTCACACCCATCCCAAATATGGATGCAGTTTAACTTGCAGTGTTGTGATTAATATGAGCTACTTATCCTCTGTTTTTTTTTTTTTTTGTTTTGTTTTTTTTGTTTTAATGCAAACACCCACACAGGAAACAGGAGAATCTAAGAGCTTACCATATTTCACATTATACTCAATAACAATCTTATTGAGACTCCAAAGTTCTGGGTAAATGAATACTGCAAAAAAATTTACACCAAACATTTTTTTTCCCCAATAATCTCAAGCGCAGCATGAAACATTTAAAAACAACACAATGGAGGCCCTTGGCATAGATGCCGCACCTGTGCAGCCCGTATCACATTTCATCTAAAGTCAAAGATTATGTAAAGCAGCGACATGTTTCCGCTGGCTAGTTTGTAAAAGGTGTTCAATAATGGGAGTGCCTCTTGGTGATCAGTTTTGTGCAGCTCATTCATGACTAAGGGCAACTTTTACACACATTCAGATAGAGTATAATTGTACATGCATGACATGACCTGTTATTGTATTCTTCTGAAAGCTTTGAGTCAGTACAAACAGGAGTGGGTGTGCAAGTCATGCTCTGGTTACAAGGCTAATGCAATATTTAAGCAGGGGAAATGTGCTCTAATGACGTAGAACTAATACATCAATGACCACTAAATAAATGTTGTGCTGTGAATAAGTGTTTTTTTTTTCAACTTTTACCTTATGTTCTTACCTTTTTTCTTCCTGTGTTCTTAAATGATATGAGTTTCTAGTAGCTTGATTAGGATTCTAAATGGCATATTTCAAATTAAAGGTCCTAGTCAATTTTAAATTCAAATTCAAACATGCTTTGTTAATCTCATAGGAAAATTAAATGTTGCAGCAATTAAGAAGACCAGCCTAACATGCTGGTCGTTTTTAAGTTTTTTTTTGTTTTGCTCCACAATAAGACCTTGGATACCTGGACACCCTCGAAATATAATAAAAATAGCTGAAAAAATAATTTTACAAACTGTTCCTTTGTGATAAAACACAGTTCGCAGAGAAGATAACAAGTTGTCACTTTAATTTAAAAACAAACATAAAACATAAAGACATGAGCAGTCAGGAAATTTATGACCTTCAGGACAAGCTCAGGCTCTGAACTTTGTTGCTGTCTTGGATTTTTCTTTGTATTTTTAAAAATAAATAATTCCCATCGGAACCCATTTATGAACCCAGTCACCTACTTTCAGCACAGACCCTGTTTGAATTGTACCAGCAGTTATTAAAACAGAAAATGCATACAGCTTAGGTGTGCTGCATGCTGCAACTGAAATGCTAATTGAATAATTAATTAATTGAATACGCTGAAGCACTGATCACAAGCACCTACTCCTGGTAGGTGTCATCACACTCATTCCTTCTGCAGCTTCTTATCCTATTCAAGTACAGTATGAGAAGATCACAGTAGCAAATTGCATTATAACCTTGATCAACTTTGTTCTCATGTTTCTTTCAACGTATCATGTTTTTAGATGAAATTTGCCTTAGTTTAATTGTAGCGGGTGAAGTAAAAATATTCCAGTTGAATTGGCCCCTTTAAAAATTAGTTTAAATTTTTAAACTAATTTAAAAATGTAAATTTTTAAATTAAATTTTTAAAGGGGCCAATTTAAATTGGCCCCTTTAAAAATTAGTTATGCGATATTATGTTTTGTATCATTTTAAAATATTTTGCATCAAAAAAGCAAAGTGTAGCAGTAATGAAATAGTTTCTAAACATGTGGTAAACCTTGCATTTTTGCTAAACTTTAGTTAAATAAAGAAACATGATGTCCATTTGGTACCAAGAATGCAACAGACAAAGTGGAGATCTGATCAACTGAACTATATCATTGTTGAGCTCTAAACCCTTATATACTGACTGGTGCAGATGAAACTGAACTGGCTCTGGATTCTCGTGTTTTCCTTGTAGGTATGGTGACGACACAGCATGAAATGCCAACTGTAGCTTCCGGCAACTCGTCATCTTCAGTCCACTCATTGAGATCAGGGTTGTAAACCTGGATGCACTTCTTGTACTTCTTCTCACCCTCGTTCCAGCCCCCCAGGAGATAGATCTTGTTGTTCAAAATGGAAATGCCAGCGGTGCTTACCCCTGTGCGAAGGGGTGCACAGTAGCTCCACTGGCCACTGTGTGGGTTGTAAGATTCAACAACGAGGACATCAACTCTCTCTCCTCGCCCTCCAAGCTGGCTGCCGCCAAAAACATAGGCTCGATCTCCAATAGTAGCAGCACAGTGCCACCCTCTGGGAGTGCTCAGACTGCTTTTGTCCTGCCAGGTGTCGGTGGAGGGGTCATAGGCGCACACAGCCCTGGAGTAGGCATTGTTGATGTAGCCTCCTGATACTAGGATCTTACCATCAGTAACAGAGCTGGCATGACAGCAGCGTGGCACCTCCATGGCAGCTTTCATCTGCCACTGATTAGAGGAGGGTACATAGCACTCCATGGAGGCCTGGACACCATCAGCATTTCGACCGCCAATAGCAAACAGGAGGCCGTTGAAGGTATTGAGGCTGAAGTGGGTGCGTCTTTGGATCATGTTGTTCAAGTGAATCCAGGTGTTAAAGCGGGGGTCATACCTAAACAATGACAAGCAATAAGTCACCACAGAAAAGTGACGGAAAATAAACTCAAACAGAGTAGCTGGTACCTGCAGAAGTTGCTAACAGCATGTTTTGCCTGGTTCCTTGCATCATTCTGGTCCTCACCACCTGCTATGTACAGGAAGCCATCCAATACTGCCACACACTGGTTAAAACTCTTTGCTGGCATTTCCGTCAACTTATTCCAAACTTTATCTTCATCTCTGTAGAGCACATCTTTGCTGAGAGATTTCTCCGTCAAAGCAGGACGTCCTCCAACTGTGAGAATCACCTTGAGGCCACCGCGTACCTTTGTTCTACGTGACTGGAGGATGTTCTGCTGATACGGGAGGAGATGGTAATTCATGGCATCAACAAGTAACCGGTGGCATTCAGCGTCTTGCATCATCCTAGGAACACTCTGGACATGATTAACAAGGTCTTGAGCAGAGATTGTTCCGAAGCGGATGAGAGTTAGGAGATCTGCTGCGTACTTTAGCCTTTTCTCGTCAAAGTCCAACCATTTCATGGCAATCTGGAAGGCTGTGACTTCAGAGGGCAGCTGCAAGGAATCATCAGAGAGAAATTCACTGATCTGCTCATATGTCAGCTTCAGGAACTGCTCCATTTCAGAAAACTCAATGAAGTTCTCCCGCATGAACTTTTGAGCTGCTTCCTTTGTTTCTTTAAGGTCATAGGCATCGGCAATATTGGCCACATACATGCAGTTCTCTACACTGAGTTCCTGCATGAGGAAATCACTACACATTTTTACCAGGGTGTTGATCTGAAGCAACCTGGCTGCAGCAATCGTGCTGCCGATACTGTAAAGGGATAAGGTAAGCTTTCCTGAGTAGGCATATGTAATTGCAGTCGCCAGACCAACTGGTGAGAGATCGTTCAGGTCAATCTTCTGAAGGCTCGAATCCTTCTTCAAGATATTTCTAATGTACTCACTGCAAGAGACCATGACAACCTTGTGGACATCAAATGTTGTTGATTTGGTGGTGACAGTGAGGTCACAGAGGAAGCTTTCTTGTCGCATGTTGTTCAAACCCTCCAGAAGATTTGGTGCGTACACAGAATCTGTAACTTCAGTTGAGATGCAGCTGAAGCCATTTCCTCCCTCAATCAGAGTGTTTAGTCCATTAATCTTGTTAATGGGACTGTTTTCCACCATAATGTCATTTATGTCTCCTTTACTCTTCTTGGTCATCTTATTCTTTTTGGGTGCCATGGTTGTAGCAGTGGAACACAGCCCGTATCCTTCTGAAAATATGGACACATGTCAGAGTTTAGCAGAAAATCATTTCAGAGATTAAGAAAAATGCAGAAATCATTCTGTGATGCAGGAAATGAGGTGTAACAAACTCTAATCAACATTGCAATTGCAGGCATAAAGTACACATTTCTGACCAGCTAAACCTCATAGAAGAACCATTACTCTGTGGCAGAACCCTCAGGGTCAAAACATTCACTCTTAAAGACACCAAAGTCATGAGTGAAGGTTCACCTGGCCCTGAAACCTCTTGTGATGTTTTAAAACAGTCAAAAGAAACCTCAAAAGATATTGACCCAATCTCAGTGGCAATACAAACAATTATTTCTATACTTTAAATTGTAGGAGCTATTTCAGGTGGCAAGGAACCAACATAACCAATATTAGGTTGGTAGTGGTTGTTAATTTTTTGTCCTGTTTACTTTACACTAATCTGTCCTTTCAAAGCTCTACATTTCTTACTTATTTTTCTAAAAATTGAAATGAATTTTGATAAAACCATTCCTTGACACCTTAACATGAGTGCAACCAGTTTATTCTGCAAAGCAGGAGTATTTCAACATGCCCCCCATGCATCTGTCGCAGTTTATCAGTAGCAAGTCCAGGAATAGCATTGCTGGGTGCCTCTCTCATGACCCTCCTTTTATAGTCTTTAGGACTTGAGCAGCAGGCCTCCCTCGTGTCCTCTGGCAATTCAAACTGAAACTAAAAAAACTCTGTTGTATCCTTTTACTCATCATAAACATTTTAGATTATCCTAAATAAGTCTGCACCCTCTACATGTGAATAAAATCTCTTCACAGCATCGCATACTCAGTTGACTTAATACTTGCAGTATTCTGTACAGAGCCCTATAATATATATTCAGCAATAAAACACTCCCTTTTCTCAGCTGCATTTTCAATGTCATTATCACGATAAAGGGTTGTGAAGCTCAACTTACCTGAGAATGGAATTGAGGCCAAAGAAGAAGGAACCTGTGCCTCCAGTTACTGGAGCAGGAGAGAGAGAGAGACCAGCTTTCACCTCCACAGAAAGACATGGGGTAAACTCCTCCTCCATAGAACTGAGTGCCAATCAACAACTGTATGGCAGTAAGCAGGGACCAGAGATTCTCCTCAACAAATAGTTCCCCACGGTAGTCTCCATTTATTATGACAAAACACTGTGAAACCAGTCAGTTAGGAAAGTTAAATCACTGGGTAACAACAATCACCACCATTCTGTAATCTGTGAAAGCACCTATTCCATCACTCCCTTCCTCTGCCTTGGGGCAGATGCTGTGAATTTCTTTAGGAACAAAGGATATAAAACATTATTCTCTCTACAATAACTACCTTGAACAAAAAAATAGCCCTCAATGTGACTTTGAAAACAATTTTGATTTGGCGAACTTGTCCTTCATAGAATTCTGTCTTCAGATAGGAAGAACAATTTTCACCCAACATCAGTGTCTTGCCTCACATTTGACAGGATATTCTAAATCTACAAGAAGTAACAGATTCCTAGAAGCCTAAATCTTGTGGAAAGACTTTTCTAAAGAATTGAAGCTTTCGTGGTCGCAAAGTGTTGACCGACTTCATACTCAATACTTAATCTTGTGAATTAAGAATTTATTGTTTTTAAATTTAGAGTTATAATTAACCTTTAAGTTAATTTAATGTATAGATAAGAGATCATCGTTGTTTTAGTCCCTGTTGTTCATGTGACCCCTTTAGTACTTTATCTAGAATTTAAAAAAAATAAAAAAAAATAAAAAAACAGAAGAAAATACAAGAACTTATTCTCACAACTCCATTAAACAACACAAATGTTGTTTGATCTAATTTATTATCTCGAGTAGGGGTTGCGTTTTCTCGGTCCCGCCCATTATATTACTGTCATCAATGGGCGCGCGCTGCCCGGTGTGCGCAAGAGGCTGCACGTGAACCGTCGTGATGGCCAGAAGCTCAGATGTGGTGAAGAGAATCATGCGGTTCAAACTTCAGCTGTCAGACAAAGCAGAACCTACAACGGTAGATTTGATTTCTTTATTTATTGAAGTCCGCACATAAAACCGACAAAGCAGGGGGGGAATAGTTTAAATTTAGATTTTTCTTTTATAGCAGCCGATACAACCCTCTATTTAAGACCTCCAATTATCCTAATACACTAGAAAAGTTCCCAACCACTCGATTTAATCTCATAATGTTTGCCGTATTTAACATTAAATTTAAAAACATAAATTACTGAGAGTGTATTCCAAGAAAGTGACTTAAAAGTGTTTTCTGTTCATCTTTAGGGCTAACGTGGTAGAAGCTGAGAACATGCTCAAGTCTTAAAACGTATAGCTGTAAGAGTCCGTCCTGTTTATATGGGAAAGCCTCAGGCTAAAACTGGCATCTCACCCATCTGCTCAACTTATTGCTGTTGTCCGTCATCAGAGAAGGTGGGGGCGCTGTGCAGGCAGTTGTAACGCTGCATTTAAATATTGGACGAATTTTCACTGAAAGCACTTTAAATGCAGACATGAAATGGAAATCGCATTAGTTTTTAAAGACATGAAGCCAGAAACCATTTATAGATTAGGGAGCGAGATTAGTGGGTGTGAGTATCCATACATAGATCTGCTCTAAATGCACAGTCAGCAGCTGTGTTGACCCCAACCCAGCACTGCCTTATTTGGTGCTTCAACTGTAAGTTTCAGTGCAGTCATCTACCTATTGGCCGGCTTATTCATAAAATACATTTTATAGCCAACAATAATTGTATGTTTCTCACCAGAAATGTGAAGGAAAAAAAGGTGGTAGTTTAATTTCTGTTTTCAAAATGAGAGGTATACAACTTAAACTGGCACCTTTTCTTCTTGTGCTCAATAAAGTAGAAAAATTTTAATACAACATAAGATGAACGCACTTCAAAAATTCTGGTGAGTTTAGAAAAAATACAAGTCATTATACTGAATGGATTCCATGATTCCTTACAAACATAAATTATATTTATAAATATGCATGAAGATTATGTGGAATATATATATATATATATATATATATATATATATATATATATATATATATATCAACAAAAATGTCCCACAGGTGATCTATTTGCAAACATTTATGATATTAAAGAAAAACAATAACTTTTTAATTTTAGTTTGATGTAATTTTATTTTTTTAAAGTAATAAAAATCAAATAAATTGCCCCTTTTCTTATATGTTGAGATCCTTTCACACCTCAGGTGTCAGCAAAGTATTTGCTTCACCCCTCAATGTCACTGCTCATAAATGGTTGAATTGCTCACAAATACAAATGTGCAAATAACTACATGAAAAAGAAAATGGGATTGTGTTTCATTCTGCACTTTCATTTTAAAACGACTTTCCTTACTGATTTTTCTTATAGAACAGCAACTTTCAAAAACATGAACTCACCCAATATGTCTCCTATTCTTCTTTCAGGTTCTAAAGATTTTGCAGAAACTAAAGGATCTGGATATCACACTAGATATTCTTTCTGTAAGTTTGTATGCTATAGAACAAGTACAGATATTTTAAAAATTTTACTGTATGCTCTAATGAGTTTTGAAATTCACAATAGGAAACTGGAATTGGCAAAACGGTTAACTCCCTGCGGAGACACAAACAAGCGGGGGAATTTGCCAAGTTGCTAGTTAAAGGCTGGAAAAAACTGATTCCAAAGGAATCCACAAGGTAATTTATTTAATTTTTGATTGTAAAATTTGCTTGAATATTCCTGAATTGATTTTTGCACTTTATGCAGCCATGGTGATGATGTAGCATGGTTGGATAGTGTTTCTGTTAAAAACAAAGAGGATGACCAAAGCTGTTCTGATTATGGGAGTCCGCAGAATGACGATAACAATAACTGCCCTACATCTAATCATGAGGATCAATATACTTCAGATGAACAGGCCCACAAAATGCTGAGTAAGAAAGAAGAGTTGGAAGAGCAGAAAAGGAAACTCAGTGTGGACAAGAACAATAAAAAGCGTCGAGAAGAAAGCAAGACACAACTTTGGAAGGACATTTCAAAAAGCAGAGCTGAAATACAAGAGGACAAGATGGACAACAATGTTGCCTCCAAGATGAGGAAACAAAACAATGATAACATGCATGGAAACAAATCCTTTGAGGGTTCTTATAAAAAATCCAAATCTGAGTCTAGGGAAAAGTTGAAAGGAACCCCTGACGGAGAACGAGAATCAAACACAAAATCAAAGCCATCAAAAGAATCAATGAAAAACAGAGAGATCTTTTCATCCAGTGACAAGCACTCAAAAACATTAAAATGGGCCAAAGAGGACAGACATCTGGAGATGTCGAGGAGCTCAGAGACTCGAAACAGAAAAAGGAAAAAAACAGACTATGAAAAGCATGACAATCTAAAACCCCATCCAGATCCTGAAAGAGAGAAATATTCAAAACACAAAAAGGCCAAAATGGGGCACCAAGATGCAGAGAGTAATGGTGATGAGGAGGAACCCTCCATGTCTTTTGAATCTTACTTGAACTATGATGTGAATGTGGAGAAGAAAAAAGAACATTCAGGAGTGAAGAAAGCTCCGAAAATGGTCAAGACTGCGTCAAAAGAGCCAAAATCAAAGCATCCAGGGACCAAGCCTCTGAAATCATCTGCTTCTTTTCCAGAACAGGTATACCTGATATTTAAAACTTTATGTGTAAACTGGATGCCATAGTTATTGTTGTTTTATTTTTTTTGTAACAATTCTTAAAAATATGCCAGAAGACACAGGAATCTTTAATGCATTTGATGGATGTCCCATTACCCGCCACTCTCCCAGAACTGGAAAAGTCTTCACACAATGACTACTACTTCGAAAAGAAAGGTAATACTTGTTAGAAATTACATCTGTAATCTCTCTTTTAATTTTTCTTGATATATTTTCTTTATTGAAGTTGATAAGGAGCCGGATTCTTGTGATGTTTCGGAGGAGTCTGTAGTCTTCACTGGTCAGCGACTGAATAAGAAGATGCAAGTGTACTCTGGTGCAAAAACCCTTTTCCTCCCGACTATGATGAGCTTGTTTCAACAGTGTATACGCACACTCCAGAACAACCTCAACTGTGAGTAGTGTCTGAAAGCTTTTGCAAGGTATTTGGATTTTACATTTAGAAGCATGCATCTCTTTTCAGTGCTCTACGAGACCGGTGGAGTCCCATTTGAACTTCTTGAGCCAGTACTGGAGAGGTGTACACCAGAGCAGCTGCTGCGAATAGAGGAATACAACCCAGTAAGAACGTTATTCAATACTTTTTCGATTAATACCAGCACAATATTTAGAATGAAAGTGATGGTCAGCTGATGACTTCTATCAAGCTTGTGGATGTGTTATAGTGACAGAGCTCTCATATTTAAAACTTTGTCTTTGTGCTTACATTGAGCTATATAAATTTACCCCAAAATTTTCTTTACCTCTCTCATTGTGTAACTCTTAAGCTACATAACTAAACCTATAGTACGTTTTATTATTTTGAGCCAAAATAAGACAACAGGAATATATTTGGACCAGTTGATGTCCTGTTTGGTGTTTAAGAGCCCTGTCTGCCGTCCTTCCAACTTCTAGTCCTGCGCTGGGGTAGATCACTTCCCCAACTAAGAAAAAAAACGTTAAAGTTCTGTCAGACAATGGAACGTATGGTGGCTACATGTGGGCAAATTCTGTGCTTCCTTGTCACAAACAGGTTTGTAGAAATAATAATCACACCCATTTTTTCCCACAATTAGTAAAAATAGTGTCCTTGGTGTTTTATGGTGATTGAGTAACTGTCTTGGACAGGACAGGACAGGACAGGACAGGACCGACCTACTAGGTGTGCACAAGACCTATTTACTCAAACAGGACAAAACAGCGATAAAACTACTACTGTTGAAATTGCTGCAGCTCTTCAGAGTATGACATTGATAGAAAGGTTTTGTTGCCTATAATTTATATCTGTGTGTAAGAGCCTTACATTTGTTGATCTTAACACTCCAGACTGCTAAGATTTAAAAGAATGCCCTCTTGTAAATATAATTTAAAAACTAG